TCCAGGCCAGAGGAACGACCCGAAAGAGAGAGAAAGAGATAAGCAAGGACGGTCGAAGGAACACAGGCCATGGCAAAGATTGGTGAGGGAAAGGACAGGTTAGCGTGGCGAAATGGAGAGGGGAGAGGGATGGAGATCGCGGAGACCCACATTACGGGGAAAACGCCTGGGGTTACCTGCGGCACCGTGGGAAACGGATCTCAAAGCCGAAAGCGAGTTTCACCTGAGGACGAAGGATTAGCCGATGCCAGAATCTCTACAAAGAACCCCTTGTTCTTTTGCCGGCTAAGACGAACGAGCTTCCGTCAGATAAAACGCCACCGAGAAACTTTAACGACATCTTCATCCTGCCCGCTGATACACCGGCGGAATTGAAACAGTCTTACGTAATTAGGGGTTTGTAAGGAATTCCTTGTTTCAAGAAGCTTTAATTAGATTGCGAGAAACTTGAATGATGTTTACTATACATGGAAACGGAGTTTCTTCGGCTACCGAAGCGCGAGATAAGGAAGAGGAAAATGAACGACCAGCTGGTAGAGAATTTACGACGCGGATTAATTAATTATACGGTTATGCGGTTGTTGCCTACCGAACGGAGGATTTTGAAATAGAGATAGACCGACATGATTTCGTGATATAAAAGTACCGTAGAATGGCACTTATGATGTATCAATTTCAAGATTAAAGTATAATAAAAATGACTACATAAGTGTTTCATGAATATTCTTGATATGGAGTAGCCGGGAAAAAGAAAAAGGATACTATTAGAATGGCTGATTTCGAAATGTAAAAAGTCTGACACAATTTCATGACATAAAAGTGTCGTAAAATGGTACCTATGGTATAGCAATTTAAAGCTTAAGGATTCATGAAAATGGATATATAAACGTTTCATTAATATAAATTAACTAAAAAAAAGGAAAGGAATAGTATTAGATTGCTGCATATCATATAGATGATTTCGAAATGTGAACAGTCTGACACGATTTCATGACATAAAAGTGTCGTAAAATTAAATTATTTGAAAATTCATTTTCTAATAATTTTCTTCACGATTAAATAACAAAAAGTGTCGAGAAAAAATGATTGCATTAATGCTAATTTTTGCTACAGTGTCCTCTTATATATTTTAAGTTATTACAGGTCTGCTCTTTTTTCACTTTACTACCCATCTTTATCACCGCCATCAGCTTATCTCCCCCACAGAAAAACAATAAACCGCTCTAAAACTTCAACACGCCATTTCACAGAATCAAACATTCCACTTTACACCAATAAACCCTTCGCCTCTCAATAAAGAACTCTTCAACGCGAACTTCACCCCCAAGTGCTGCTCAACTTCAAAGCCCTATACGACCTACCCACTGGCACATAGGTGCAGTCACTGGCTGCATCGAGTGTCTCCATATCGCAAAACCGAACGACTCTCACATTGGAATTCTTTATTTGCCTTTATGTTTTATAAAAGGATAACAATTGGAAAAATGAAAAATTGAATAGAATTATTTTTCCAAATAAAAATTCAAAAATTGATCATTCATAGCCTTAATAATTATCAGAGCTTCAATTTGTCCCGCTGCGCACACCCTTCACTATTGCGCCCCCTTCATCACCCTACCAACTACCTCTGCATATCAATGGATTTTGCAAACCGCCTTACAAAATTCCGGGAACCGGTAACGCGAGTTCGAACAACGGTTCGTTTATCCGGTGCATCGATAAAATGGCACCGGAAATGCGGCGAAGGGAGGTGAACGAATCGGTACTTACGGACAGGTATTTTCTTCGGATCAACACCGGCTAGACGTTCCTCGACCTTGTCCAATCTATGGCGCAGATTACTGCTACGATCGGCGACCGTGGTCAGCTCCGCGGTTAGTTCGGCGAAGATGTCCTCGGCGATGGTAAGAAGCGAGGCGAGTTGCTTCAGCGAAGCGGTCAAAGCGCCGTTCGCGACCGCCTCCAATTCGGCGCCCACCGGCCATCCCTGAGGCGTCGGGTCCGCGGGCACGTGACCGCGGCACAAGAACCGTGGCTCCACTCTTCGTAGCACGAACGGCATGATTTCCGTTGGAAACAACAACACCTTCGCACATAACACTGAAACCGGTATACCGTTTCGGCGCCGGGCCCGATCGTCACCAGCTTAGAACACGGTTCTCGCTGGTGATCCGAAGGGAAGAGGAAGTCGTTTCGATTCGACGAAACGAACATTCGCGCCGGCCCATTTTTACAAACGACGATTCTGCGGAGGCACTGCACTTTACGATAACACTGTTCCGCACTTAGGATCCTTGATCAAATATGCGGACACATTTTCTTTTATTTAGTTCGGAACCGGTGACTTCGAGCGGTACTCAAAGGTGAGCGATGCGCGGACACGGTTTGTTTTGAGAACTGTCATAGTGTTTACTCGATCGAAGGGGAGCAGTACATCCGCACGACGCGACAACGGTACGCGAAGTGCCGGCCGGTCTGCCGCCGTGTCGCCGACCCGTTGTTCGGTTACACTCCCATTCAAACTCAATGCGCTGGAGGCGCTCTTCGCGGCACTACGCTCTGTCATCTTCTGGCGGGTTTGTGTACTAGTACTGGGACGTGGAAGTAAGAATCGGTATTACAGTAACCTTATTTTAAGCATTATGGGATGAAACATTCCTTTTTGAAAAAAGACGTCATAGAATGGAACTGATGGTGCAGTAGGTTTTAATTATTAGTTACAGTCCTGTATCGTTAGATGGCAGTAGCAGCATTGTTCTCTGGTGGCCTTTACAAAAAGCAGAACGTTCCATCTTGAGATTTTTCAATCAAGGGGATCACTGTTAGATGGCACGTCAGTGCCCATCCGGTACGATTTTTTTCAATTTATTATTATTAATGTCTTAAACCAATAATAGTGCCATTATGATAGTAATATTACAAATATGAAACATTCTAATAATGCTATAGAAATTATTATTATAATAATAAATAATTTTTTTAAATTATTACCTGTAAGTACTTAATAATAATAAATTGATTAAATTGGTAAAAATGGAGATAAGTTTCTTTCAAAAGGTTCTTAATTTTTTGCACATTCACTAAATTTCATCTTAATCGTTCTGATTCGATTTGGTGTAAAGTGTTCATGTAAGTTACAACTTGGACCATGTAATTGATTGTACGAGCTTAAACTTACTCTTTTTGGGTGGATCTAATGGATAAGGGTTACCAGTGGCTTTCTTTCTTTCTCTAATTTGCTCAGCATGTGCAATTTCACACGGTAAAATTTCCTGCTCTACGGAAATTCAGAATGACCCGATTACACTTCACCTTTAAATTACTTTTCCTACCAACATTTCACATTTTTTTTTAGAATGTAACAGTTTCAATCTGTAAGGGTAATAATTTCTGTAAGCAAAAATGAATTATCATACATCTAATTAATTCCCAATAGATATGAATTTAATTTCCTTCCTGTTTAGGAAGAATAAAGTCTCATTGACAACAAACAAATGACTGTCAAATATTTTATTGTAACTACGAATAACAATAAATCGGAGACATAATCGTGGAGTTTTGATTAGCGACGGGGTTAAAGTTGAACTAAATATAGGTAAAGAATAAATCCCCTGTATCTCGTATTTCTAACAAAACACCCCAATCAGCAATTCCCAATTTATGCATTTTGTTAACCTTTTTCATTTCGCGCGCGTTGTCTCGAATTATCACCAAAGGTCAACGGAAGTTTCCGATAGCTTCGTGTTCCACCTTTGTCTCTCAATTTGTTCATTAAAATTTGTAAAATTTCGAAAGATCAAAAGTAAAGGTGGTTCATAAAATTCGAACCTGAAATAAAAATCAATTTATAAATATACTCACATGAAAATGACACCCTCTAATATTATTTATTAAAAATCTTGCAATTGTTAGTAAACTTGAAAAAACCGAAGGTCATTGCAAGTCTTGGAAGCTGTGAGAAGCATTAAGTGAAGGAAAAAAGTTTCCAGGCCTAGAAATGAAAAAAAAAATCAATAAGAGCGTTAAAGTTATTAATAGCTCGAAGAACACTGAAAATTATGGGAAAAAAAAAATAGAAGAGATATTGAGAAAGGTGAGACAATATAAGCTGAAGAAAAAACTGAGATGTTACGCCTTTTAATAGAAACTTCTTGCAGATAAAAGTTTCATTATTTAATGAATTTTGTAATTGGCAAAATAATTTTAACAGTAATTTATTCATTATTTAAGAAAATTGCTGGACCGATATATGAAACTCTATCGTTTAAAAATTATTCATTTATTATTCATTTGCTTTCAATTTAAAATATTATTTTATTTTAACTTTATAAAATATTTATTCTCCAAATTTCATTCATCTCGTTTGACCCCATTTTACCTTATACCGATCTAATTAAATTAACCCCATCTAGAATACCAGGTTTCTTTGCATCTTCGATAATTTTAAAACTTGATTAATATTCCAAACGATACCACTATTAAATACAGTTGGATTACTTGAAAAGTATCAAGAAGAGAATTGAACGCCCATCAATAGGGGTAGGTGGTCGCGTGCGAATTCCCTCTCTCCAGTATCTGGCCCTGGAGGTATACCATACCCCTTTCCCCGCCCATCCTTTCGATCAAATCCGACCACGCTGCCCTCTCTCGATCGGATCACTCCTCTCCTTCTATCCTTTATCCAGCTCATTCCAAACCATTGCTTCCATCTCTCTCGTTCCGCGAACCTAACCTCTTTGCTACCTAGTTCGCTTGCATGCCACTTTTTTTTCTCCTTCGCTCCAACCGCGCTACCCCCACCTTGCCTCTTACTCCTTCCATGTCGCCGAACCACCCACCAGATCGCTCGTTCGCTACGTCGCGATTTCTCTCCCTTCTCTCTCTCTTCAGCGTCGTTCGAACGACCAGTCTCTCTCCTTCATCTTTCCTTGTCCGCCGAGCGCTGGCGCTGTTCACTTCGTCCTTGTCCGTCTCGCGAGCGCGGAGGCAGGCGCCACGAATTCACTTCTCGTAACTTCGGCTTTGCTCGGTCAGTTCCGACTGCCAGCCAGAAGAATTCGTTAGTATTCGCCGCGCTGCCTTGCCGGCAAGTTGTATTTAAAAGGAGGTGCTTTCATCCTCGTATCAGTAACGAGCGCGCGTGTCTAACCGGAGTTATTATTTAATTCCTAGTTATATTATAAATGTTTAGTAAACTCTGGGTGTGATTTAGACTATTTTTAAACGTGTTTGTACAACGGGAGTTCGGGTGCTGGATTTAATCTAAAAATAAAATAAATTAAATATCGAAGGTGTTTATTCTGGAAGGAGCCAGAGGTACAGGACAGTAAAGAAACATCGATGAAAATTCCTAAGAAAGACGTTCCTCGTATATCAGAAAGAATAATCCTCTTAAACGTGAAAATCGTATCATTGGATTCGGAGAAACATTGTGCGCGTAAAGTGACACGTCACGGTTCTCCGTTCCGATTCGCCGCGAATTTGTCGAAAAGTCCGCCGTATTCTAATCGTCGGTCAGCCTCGTTGAAGATCTTCTCGTCGGAGTGGGCCAAGTTCTCTATCAAAACATGGCCACGTGATCGACGGCGCGACTTGTAAACACTGAGTTTGACCACGTGGTCTCCCCCCTCTCCCGCCTACGTCTATCTCTCTCGCGCTCCTACTCTTTCACCGTTTACCTCTCGCTCGCACGCGACACGCAGAACAACGTACAGCGTATTCTCGTTCGGTCCGCTGCCAGTTGCGGGAGAGTTCGATTCGGAGTGATCCGCGATACTCTGCTTTTCCTCGTGATCTTTCCGTCGCGTTTGTTGCGCGAGTGTTACCGCGTAGACGCATGCACTGTTCGTTCGTGGTCGTGTGGTGTCTCGGGAAAAGAAACGAAACGAAACGAAGTGACAGCGACCATAGGCAAGCAGAGAGAGCAACAACGTGGGACGGCTGCAAAAAGAGTGACCCCGGTTCTGGTTTCAACTCGTTAATACCGACCAAGTGTTGTTAACCCGTCGAAGTGACAGTGTCGGCCATACCGAGTGAGCCTCTCGAGGAACTTCGTTACGGCGACGTATATCGGTGGTACAGCGCCAATTCAGCACGTTTGTCGCTGTGGGCCATCGCGTCGTTTGATGCTTGCGGTCAAAGTGGAGTACACCGAGGAAACGAACATGATGGACTCGGTGCCGGTTTCAGCCGCGGGGTCGAAGACCGGGTTGCAACCACAACAGGGGGTACCATACGACCTTGAGAGTGGGTTCGAGCCACAGACCCGTGCGCGTTCGCACACGTGGCCTCTGCCGCGACCGGAGGAATATATAGAGGGAAACGTGGTACCGAGCGTACCGGCTAGCAAAGAGGGCGTCGAAGGTGTCGAAAGTGGCACGCCGTCACAGCATGGCTCTCTCGGCCAAGGTACCGGACTGCTTCCGGTCAAGAAAAATTCGTCGCGACGAAACGCCTGGGGGAATCACAGTTATGCAGATCTCATCACTCAGGCCATCACCAGCGCCCCCGACGAACGGTTAACGTTGTCGCAGATCTACGAATGGATGATGCAGAATATTCCATACTTCAGGGAAAAAGGAGAGAGCAACAGCAGTGCCGGATGGAAGGTGAGTTTTTAACTTTTTATTTATCTTTCTTTGGTAGAATATCAGTGACTTTCAGTCATGGAGTTCTTAAAAACGACTCGAGCGATTATCTTTGATCTTATTTCGAATATCGGAGGTTAAAAAGTTGTTTCGATAAAATCTACAAGTTACATAGAAATTGTGTCATTTATACGTTAATCATTCGTGGAATGTTCCGTCTGGCTATGTTATCGTGGTTTGTCATTAGCTGCTCTTTAATGCTCCAAAACTGATGCACGAGACAGAGGGCGTCCGGCCGAGTCACGTGACACTATTTCGCTATCGTCTATCAGTGTCCAATGATCTCTATACGTTTATTTTCATGAATTTCAAATATATTTATGTTTCTTCTTTTCTTCTATACTTTTGTGTGTCACATGACTCCTAACCTCAATTCTATGCACATGGAGTTTATTATACATATTACAAAAATTCTTAGAAATTTCTGAAGATATACTATTTAAAATAAGAAAAATATTTATTAGCAAAAATAAATAGGTTTTTATAAAAAAATTCTCAAAGATCCACTTTCAGGTGTAGATACACTTTGTAAATACTTTTGAGATTGTTTATCAGTAGCAACATATTTTTATTTCATTCATAGTTGAAACGTTGACCGTGAACGAGAAAAATAGACGAAGAAAGAGAAAGGCGCCAGTGAGGCGTGTTTTAAATTTTTCGGCGTGGAACAGAGGATATTCGCGGCATGTAAAAAAGTAGCGATAGACCGAAGAAACAGGTTCTCGTGTTAAACTTTCAATCATCTCATTTTCATGCGTTCCTTTTTTCTTCCTTCTTTTCACGTTTAACCTTTCCCGAGGATGGTCATAAGGATAGGAAAACGCGGCGCGGCGGACGTCGACGCTTTCTCGTAGTTTGAAATTCGCGCTCGAATTGCGCGGGAATAATGAATATAAAAATCGCGAACGGACGCGCTCGTTTCGCCTGGCGCGGTCTGATTTCTACAATAGAATTGATTCAATACTTTCGTATCATTTTCAAACAATTAAATCATCAAATACTTAAGAAAAAGAAAGAATTAATGAATATTGTGTATTATTTATGGAAAATTCAAATTAGTTTAAACTATAATAATTTTCATATTATTAACAAGCTTAATATTCAGGATTCATAAAAATTAATTAATTAGTAAAATTGAAAATGTTATTAGACTGAGGCTCAGTAACGAAGAAAGTAGTTAAAAAGTATAATTCTCATTACTACTGATTTCTAATATCGTACGCTTGTATCATCTCTGTTCATCGGAATTTAAAAAAAGCACGCTATCGATTTACGCAGTTTAACTGTTAGCGAAGTTAACTTTTCCCGTGCTGCTACTTTTCCCTCAAAGCGGACCACTTTTGCGAGCTGCTCTGAAATCGAGGGAAATAAAACGCGTCCTGATAAACAGTAATAGCGTTGCTTTACCAACAGTGATCCTACTCATTTTACCAATAAAATTCTCTATTTCATTGGAAGCTCTAATATTTTCTTCAGAATTATACCACATAAATATTTACCATAGTTAGTATAAACATTGATGCATTTAAAGGAAAAATCTATATAAAATTTAATTTTGTTATTTTTCTTCTCTATTTCAATATTAAAATGAAATTTCATGAAGTTTATTCAATAAAAATTAATTTGTCTCAGAATCCATTTATTAATTAATCATTTGAAAGATTCAGAATTTTTACATGAAATTTCAGTTTATTATACAATGCTATACAATAAAAACGTAAATTTCAGGTTAAAAGTTTATGAAAAATATAGATAATTCTAATAACTGTCATATATATTTAGAACAAAATTATGAGGTATAAAATGTTTAAATACTTTTCATAAGGAAAAATAGCATTAATGCCTTTTTGTAAGATAATTTATAGATTAAGTCTCGTTCAAGTGTCATTTTACTATCACTTAATACCATTTTTAATGTTCTATTTATCTTTCGAAGCACTTACAACTGTATATAAAAGCAATCGTCCATAATTAACAGAAATAATTGTTTCCTCGAACAAGAATAACTTTTCATATTATTTCATTAACGTCAACTGACTAATGGTGTCACTATAACGTATATGCTAGAATACCAGCATTGGTTGTTAATATTTTCCTTTAACCCTTTCGGTGCTAAGATGGTAAAGTAGTTAGTATATGGGTGACTTACTCATCAGATGTATGTAGCACTGAAAGGGTTAAATAAATTTGGTTTAACACCTTCAAAGGATGAATGGATAAAACGATTAAGGATTAAGGATTCATTCTATGTACATTTAAGCAAGGTGGAGATAGAGAAAATTTAGGGAGCCCAGGGTGAACCTAGGGAGTCTAGGGAAAATTTCCCAAATAAAGTAGAGTATCAAATAAATTTTTTAACATAGAAAAAAAACAACGGTTAATAAAAACTAAAAACATTAGTCTCAATTTTGAACTGAAAAATGTTGGTCTGAAGCATGCACGTTGAATGGAATCATTAAGGAAAGGTGGGACTCAAAATTAGAATAACAAAGAGCTCTGATTGCTATCACCTTCGAAATAGAACACAGATATCATGCGTGTTCAAATGGAAATCAAAAGGCAACTATGGCATTGATGAGGATTCGGTAACGAGCCTAAACACCTGTATCTTGTACGAACGAGGTCGATAATACAGAGAAAAAAAAGAACATTGCATAGCTTCTTCGAAGTTCTCTACTTCGAAATCAGTTTATTCGAGAAGCGAAGCTATCGAAACTGCGTTCCCTTTCGCGGAAAGGAGAAACGGTGCAACGGTGATAAACGTCGAGAAGTTAAGTCTCAATCTCGACGTACATACACAATAGTTATGCACGTCGCAGATAATACCGACTATTCTCGTTTGTTTATACGCTCACATGTACGTACACGTACCGCGGTTGAAGATATCTGTACAGACACCACGTGATCGCATGCCGCTTCGCGCCTCGCATCTGAAGTTCGCAGCTGCACTAAACGGATTTTTCATCGGGCTCGTTCGATGCCATCTTCAATATTCAAGTGAATAATCGTTTAGATACGTGTTCATCATAGAAACAAAGAGCAACGTTAATTTTGCTGTTAGAACAACGATTGCATTATGATCTCTTGGACCAATTAGGTATATTGTAGCAAAGGAGGGATGTTGCATGGGATACTTAACACGAACTTATTATGGCGTACTTAAATACGACTCCATTCAGGTGCATATTTTATAGAATAAAGGGCTTCTGTCATTTTGTAAGATCATTTCTGACCACTTTGAACCCTATCCCGAATAGCACAAAGACGTTGTCTAAGTACGGGTCTAATTGTCGTGGAAGAAGAACACCTTGTTCAGAGGTTCTTAATGATTAGTACAACTCACGGCGGGGAGTATTAAAACTAGACAGATAAGAGATCTTTGCCGAGGATTCTTCGACGAGATTTCGTAGCTTTGAGAAATCGGGCTACACTATGGCGGCGGTATTGCTTAAGGGCTTTTCACATTTCGGACGAACCCGGAGACCTCTCCTTGACTCCTCGTAGCTGAACCATCATGGACAGCCTCGAATGCTTTCGAGCCCCAAGGTCGAAATTTCTGTCCAATGTTCAGATAAATCGTTTTTGATAAATTATTTTCTTCGACATTTCATTCTGCAAGGGTCGACTCGTGTGTGGTGGTAATACCTGGTTGCTTTTGACCCATGGTACCTTTTGGATCTGGCTTTTTAATACAAACTATAATATATTTAATGATGATTTTTGGGAGCCATAAATCTGTATTTTGGATTCTTTGGATTGTTATGGTTACTCCTCCCAGTGATGATTAATCCTTGGACGGTGGGCCATGAAGAGAGCTCCTATTTTACTTTAAATTTGTATTTCCATGACCATTAGGAGATGAGTGTATTTATTATAATAGTAATTTGAAGGGTCTTTTCAGTAAAGCCATGTCCCTCCGTTAGTTCATATACGTTAGGTCCTATCGTAATTTCTGATAGGTGATAGCCCAGAAGAGTTGAACCTGAATTCCTTAAATGCCGAGATTGTCTAGCACAGTTTCATCTAAAAATAATCGATCAGTTTGGAGGTTAAGATTAACCTCTAATCTGAGAGGCGTCGCGTCCCGTCTAGTCGGTTCGCAGGGTGTCCGTTTACGGCGTACGCAAACGCGGCTCCGATTCGAGACGGTCGTTCGCAGGCGTTTTAGAGGTTACATCGGTGATTAAGCGAACGGTGGCGCGATTAATGAAAATTTTTCACTCGGTCTGACTCGTTCAATGAGATTTAAAAACGATTCGGTGGATGGCATCGGGCGGGCGCAGATATATTTTCGAGTGAGCTCGGTTGGTTGAGTTTAAAGCAGGCTTTCCACGTTATTTTTGCACGAGGCAACACTGGCATCGTTGCCGCGTCTCTCTTCTCGATCTCTTTCCCTCCCTGTACAACTGATCCCGCTTTCTCGGTCCCTCTCGCCTTTCGTTCTTGCTACCCAGACGACCCTGCGACGACCACGTTGCCGATATCATCATCTTGAGGTCATCTCTCCCTCCGCCCACTTTGAGCCCACGATCAGGATCGGCAGAAGCTTCCTACGGCTTTTTTTCACTCCTTCGATTCTCCACCTGCTTCGATCGCGAATCGAACACCAGGCCAGGTACCATGGCTCGGTTGGGATACTTCCAAGAAACACCAGCCGGCAATCTCACTCGCGCCTTACCGCCTGCTACCGTTACGATTAGTCGATGAATAAGCGGAATTGGATCTTCACGGATTGGATGCATTGGACACCGTTCCGGGAGATCCTTCCTCATCCATCCGGAGATCTTTGACTCTTCGTTAGAATCGCCTTAGGATTTTCATCCGTTTTCCGATAAAATGCCCTAGGATCCTTGATTCATTCCAAATGCCCTCTCCCTGGCCTTTTTGAGCGCCCTTCTTGAAAAAGAATCCATGGATGATGGATCATTTTCTTCCTATTAAGTCTGTGATTTGTAATTTCC